GGGTGTGGGGCAGATTGGGGGGGACCTGGGACAGATGAGGGGGTCTGGGGCAGATTGGGGGGGACCCTGGGTATGTATGGGGTGGGATCTGGGGCAGATGAAGGGGGCAGGGGTAGCTGGGACGCACAGGGGGAAGTAAAAGAGGGCACTGGGGCAAACTGGGAGGGATCCAAGGGTAGACAGGAGGGTCTGGGGGGCAGCTGGGGGGGTGGGTGGAGGGTGAGGGGAAGGTGGGGGGGACTGGGAGAGATGGGGGACCCAGTGGTGAGAGCTGGGGTAGATTAAGGGGACACAGGGATAGATGGGGTGGAGCTGAGGAAACAGCTCACCCCCCTGGGTGGGTTTTGGGGCTGGAGCCACCCCAGGGGTACAACCCAGCAGGGGAAAAACCTCCAGGCATTCTGAAACTCGTGCCAACAGCTCACCCAGCCCCAGAACCGTGCCTCAGTTCCCCCTTCAAAAAACTTGGGGTAACGGTGGGATGAGGGGACAGGGATGAGGGGACAGGGCTGTGTCCTGTTGTGACAGTGACCTCCAAGCAGCTCCTGGGTGACCCTGGGGTGACTTTGGGGGTCTGGTCACCTCGAGGGGCCCTGGCAGTGGTGGCTGTGGGAGGGCAGGGAACAGATGGATGGGATGGGAACGAGCCATTTCTCACACACGTGGAATTCCTTCTTTCCCTGTGAAAGGCCTAAAAATAGAGTCTCATAAACCCCCTCGTCTGCCTCCAAAATAGACCCTGGGAGGGGGCCAAGGGGGGAAAGGGAAAGTTACTGGGGTGAAGGAGGGAAAATCAGCCAAATCCAGTCAAAAATGGAGCTGGACCCCAGACCAGGGGGCAGGGGGACACAGCCCTCCCACTCACCCCCCTTCCTGAGCATCCTCCCACTGCCCCTCAGATTAGGAACTCAGAGAAACCCTCTCCACAGGGGTGGGAAGCATCAAGGGGGGGTCTGGGGGCCCCCCACCTGAGTCACTTGACTCGGTTTTAATTGCTCTGTAATTAGCAGGAACCAAATTAATTTTTTTTTTTTAAAAAGTGCATAAATAACACCAGCGAGAAGTGAGAGGGGGGGAGGAGGGGACAAAACCCGGGGAAAGGAAGGGAGGTGTCCCCGGGGTAGGGAGCGTCCCTGGGACACCGCGGGGGGGGGCCCAGACAAGGGGGGGCATCCCTGGGGCTGGGAGGGTCCTGGAGCACTGGGAGTCCCTGGGGCAACGAGGTGTCCCAGGGCAGGGGGGGTCCGGTGTAGAGGGGTCCCAGGGCAATGGGGCCGCAGGTCGAGGGGCTTGTCCCAAGGCAGGGGGTCCCCCGGTGCAGGGGGGTCCCCGAGCGGGGCCGGCAGAGCCGGGCCGGGCGCGTTGCTGGGGCTGCATCGCCCCGCAGTGGCCGCGGCCACCCCTGCAGGGACCGGGACGGGGGTCCCGGGGTGCCCACGGGGGCTTCTCACACCGGGGGTGGTTTTGAGGGGACCCACGGGAGGGATTTGGGGGGGGACGGGGAGCGCGGGGGCGATGCCATCGGGTCTTTGTCCCCACTGGGTCCCTGTCCCCACTGGGTCCCTGTCCCCACCGGGTCCCTGTCCCCACCGGGTCCTTGTCCCCACCGAGCCCACGGGGGCAGCGGGAGCTGGGAGTGTTCCCTCGGTCAGAGGGAGTGGGGGTGATCCCAGCTGGGGGTGTCACGATGGACCCCGGGCGGGCGGATGGGGTGGGTCCTGGTTTGTGTGGTGGATCCCGGGTGACGGGATGGATCCGGGGGGTGGGGGTGGGTCCTGGTTTGTGTGGTGGATCCCGGGTGACGGGATGGATCCGGGGGGTGGGGGTGGATCCTGGTTTGTGTGATGTGTCCTGGGGAATGTGGTGGATCCCGGGACTTCTAATGGATCCTGGCTCATACGATGACCCCTGGCTGAGGTGACAGATCCCTTCACATCCCTCCAAAGCAGGGCCTGCACTGAGTGACCCAGCCGTGTCCTTCCCAGGCCATGTCCCCTCTGTCACCCTGCCAGGGCCACTGGGGTGCCCAGGCTCACCCCTATCGCTGTGCCCATGCTCTGGCACTGCTGCCACGCCCTCCCTCCCAGGCCAGGCACGGAGCAGGAGTCCAAAGTTCTGGATGAGAGCTGATCCCATTCCAACACCTCTGCAGGAGGGAAGGGTGCCCAGGGCTGACCCCAAACCCCCGTGGGTCTGGGGGGAAGGAACACGGGTCCTGGGCAGACTCACCTTGCTCTCCAGCCTCACACCCCAGGTAAACACTCAGTGCTAAATTAAACTTTTAAAAAATAGATTTATAACCCTTGGTTTCAGCATGTCCTTCCCCAAACTCCCAGCCAGGCTGCTGCTGCCTGAGCTCCACAACCAGCACCAGATAAATGAGGTGGTGAGGAGCTCCAAGACCCTCAGGGATTTCTAAGACACCCAAAAAACAGGTGCCTGTGACCTTTGTGGACCAGGGGTTGATGTTGGATCACAGGTTGGCTTCAAACCTTGGGCAGAGATGGTGTTAAAGCCCAAGTCAGCTCTTGCTGAATTTAAGCTCAGGGGTGAGAACAGACTAACCCCAGTGTGGGTTAGTGTGTCACCCTGTTTGTACCAGTGCTCAGACTCGCTGGGATTCCCCAAACAGCCCCTCTGGAAAAGGGATTTAAAGTCCAGCAGCCGCCCAAGGGCAGCACAGGGACAGGGATGGTTCTGGATGCTGAAAATGGGGGAAAATTGGTGGGAAAGAAAGGCCAGTTTTAGGGGTTCTGTTCACACAGGGGATGAAAAGCAGAGCTGGAGCTTCCCCAAGACAGGGAATTACGGGAATAAAAGATGTCAGGGCATCACCTGGGCAGCAGGGGATGAACCATCAGCTCTGTGGACCACCAAACCCAGCCTGCAAAGAGGGCAGGAGGGGTGAGAGGACAAAAGCAGCAAAGAAACCACGAGGAGATCAAAAGTCCCAGGGAAAGGCATTCCCTGCTCCTTCCTGCAAGAACTGCTGGGCTTGGAATGGCCAAGGAACACTCAGTGGATGTTCAGTCCCAACTTGCTGCCAGAGAAGGAGGTTGAAGGTGCTACAAGTTTGTGTGGGCTCCTACAAATCCCAGCCCCAGGAGGAGGGATGGACACGGTGGGAAGCAGTGATGGGTTTGTGGTTGCTCTGCTCTTGATTTTCACGGAATCTCAGAGTGGTTTGGGCTGGAAGGGACCTCAAAGCCCGTCCAGTGCCACCCCTTCCACCAGCCCAGGCTGCTCCAACCTGGCCTTGGACACTTCCAGTGCCCAACCAGCCTGTGGGGGAAGAACCTTTCCCTGAGATCCACCCTGAGCCTGCCCTGACACAGCTCCAGCCATTCCCTGGGGGCTGTCCCTGCTCCCCCCAGGGAGAGATCAGAGGAATCTGCCAACTCCAATCAAACCTTTCATTAGAGCCAAAGCCAGATTCCAAAGTTCTGTATTTTTCAAAATAAAGATCACACGTTGTTTAGAGACAATCTACACAAGAGTTACAAAAAATAGTCGCCCAGGCATAAGCATACACAGGTTTGTTAATTATACACATATGGTTACAAGTGTGCTTGCAAAAAAGTTCATTGGAAATATACACAAGGCTCTGTAAATGTACACCGTGTAGTGTTACAATTCTATATTCAAACAAGGAAAATTGACAGTATGTTACATTCACTTACAAGTAGACAAAATGCAAAATACAGTTCATCTTCTGTACAAAAAGGGAAGGTGATTCACACTTTACAAGGTGAAAAGGGACTCTGATTGTAAGGAAAACTCGGGGGGGGGGCTGTACTTTTGCACTTTTTGTTTCTTACTGTCACAAAATAAGCAAAACATTACTTTGTAAGAGTCAAAAAAACACTATTTGGAACTGAATCAGTTTTGTAGAACATTTAGAAAGGATCGCTACCGTTCAACTAGGTGACAAATAAAACCAAGCATTTATTTTTCTTTCTTTTTCTTTTTTAAACATTAACTAGGCTGTATAAAGAGAACATTTCCTTCAAAAGAAAAAATTTACTTCTGGTTGAAATTACAATTTACAATATACAACACTATATGCTACGACCATAAAAGGTGTGAATATACACTGAAATGCACAGGTTTTGCTAATTCTTTTTTTTTTTGTTTTCTTACCAAAAAACGGGTTTTTTATGTCGATTCAAACTTCTCCACATTTACATTACAGAGGTTTACAAATGTACAATTGTACAGTCAGAAGTATGTTCCACTACTAGGGTACATTATAGATACAGATCAGACATCAAAACAAGAAAATACTACAAATTTTTATATATGTAAAGTCTACACCAAGTATACACTATATATTTATAGAAGCAAGACCAAAGCCGAGTTGGATTTTTGTTTCTTTTTTTTTTTTTTTTT